TGGAGCAATAATGGAAGAAATATATATAAATATATAAATATATATATAATATATATGTAGTTACTTGCAATTTCCCAAACGTTTTGTGGGCTTCATGCATGAACAGATCTGCACAACTACAATTTTAACACATAAACACAAATTCATCCCTCTGACAGGATTTTTATAAAGAGTTTTATAAATTTAGAGCGCGGTTTACAAATATTTTTGTAGAATTCCTGAACTGCATGGAAATACTGCACACACTGTACAGATGATTCGGTTAAAAAGGACCAGCATTTATTTTTTCTTTAAAACATTAGATTTCACAGAAAGGATGTGGCACTCTAGAAGCTTGGCAAGACATTTTCATTTGATCTGAATTTGTTATGGTTCAGGCCGTTTTTGAGAAATGAGTACACTCATGAGAAATGAGGTGCAAAGGGACTATCATGAACCCCACTTTTTCCACAAGCTTTATCAAACAGTTTGTGGTTTTGTTAATAAATAGTAACTGTAACATATGAACATTCCCAAAACCGACTAACTTATTTTTCTTTCCTCCAAACCAATAGCTTCCTCCTCTAGACAGAAATATAATATGCAGGCCTGACATGAGAATGTTTTAGTGTGGGCACCGAGCCCAAATTCCCAGCCCTACTGCTTCAAGCTGTGCCGAGCAGAGCAGTGCAGAGCTGAGCTTTGAGCAGCGAGGGTCAAAAGTCTGCTGTGTTCCTGGCTGTTTGGCGGCGAATCAAGAGCGCGGCTGTTCAGCTGACTTTCTGTGTGCTGCTCAATGGAAGCGCTCAGCATTCAGTGTTCAGCACAGGGCTCAAAGTGCGTGCTCACCGCTTCAATATGGACTTTCTCACACACACACACACACACACACACACAGCATGCAGCCATGGCAACTCTGGTTGCTTTCTATCGGTGATATAGGATTGTCGAAGGCCGCTCACTTTACTTTTACAGCTTGCTAAAGTGTGGGATTTTTCAACACTCCACACATGACATGCTCTAAATCTAGAGTTGTGACTCTTACTAGAGACTAACGATAATAATAATAATAAACACCCCCCCCCCCCCCCCCCCCCAATCTCATTCATTGTTTCCATCCAGCGCTTATCTTTCTGTTTTGAAACTTCCTCTTTTTCATACCGTCATCCCCAAAGTGCGTGCACTCCTCTAAGCCCAGGGAGAGGCAGTGAAACCTGACAAGCTGACATGCAGGTTTGTGTGTGGCCAGAAGTGATCAGACTCTCTGAGACTTCAGCGCAGTATCGATTTCCACTTTTATTTAGTTTGAGTCCGGTTATTAACCCTTCATTCCTGTACATGCAAGACTAAAATGGATTCCAGCATGTGCTTGTAGCACTCTCTTTAATGGATATGCACGATCATTTTTAAACATGATATTTATATGCTGATCAGCTTATTTTGGGAAAGTTAATGCTGCTGTCCCATTCACTCCATTTCTTATTTACACTCCCTCTTTCCATCAAGAAGATCTGTAAGATTGGGAATGTCTTATGGGACTGTTCTTATATCTGTCATTTATACTCAGAGGTGGACAGTTCAGTAACCAGAACTCCTGGGACAAGCAGATTTTGTGTCCGGACGATTAGTTTTAATTCACAATTGGCAGGTGGAGAAGTAGATTTAGAAATGTAGCTCTGTTTAAACATAATGCTGCACTACACACACTGATCGAGGAACTGTCTGGCTGATGTTAACCAAGAGCAGAAACTCGTAGCTGAGACGACTACACCTCAAGTTGATGAGTAGGAATTTCAAGTTGAGGGGCTTTCTTTGGCTTTTCCTAGTTGGAGGTTGGGAATTACAAGTTGCAACCTCGAGTCGAACACAAGGAAAAAGGAAAAGCCATCATATAATTCTCCTCCTAATGAGCAGTCACCTTGCATTTCTTTCTTTCTGTTTATATTTTTTTGTATTTAGTTTCCTTTCTATATTTTTCAATTCAACAAATCAGGGGAAATTAAAGACACTTGCCGGAGCTCGATTGTTTTACATACAGTGTGAGGACAGAACACTACAACTCATAGCCGAAACGTTTGCAAATGCTTGCTGACATTTTGTTGAAGTCGCAAACATTCGGGGAAAAAAATATAATTATATTTTATATATATGTATACTTGCAATTTCCCAAAGGTTTTGTGGGCTTCATGCATGAATGGATCTGCACAACTACAATTTTAACACATAAACACAAATTCATCCCTCTGACAGGAGGGATATTCGAAAGTTTGTTAGAAGAGGATGGTGATCGTGAACTTGTGTGCTTCTCTTCGTCTGTAGTAATGCATTGATGTAGCTAACTAGCTTGTCATATGTTATTTTATTACATTAGCTGCCACTTTTTAAGCCTAGTCATTTAGGATTCAGGGTATCAGAACATGGGAATGAGCAGTATGTTAGCTTTTTTACTTGCCCGGTGGGCTAACTAATGAATTTCTGATTGGTTCACCCTGATACTGGTTATCGCTAACATAAACACATGGAAGAGAAGATTTAAAAGGAAAATCAATAGAGATGACCCAGCCAGTAAACAGAGCAGGAGTTTCATTGACATGAAGCTTGTTCTTCACGAGAACTCTTTGTACATCTTTTACAGACCATGTGTATGTCATATGTCATAGCCCCAGTGGCTGAGTGTGCTCTCTCTCGTGTGTCTTTGATGTATTTTAAAACAAAAAAAATTGTGGGCTACGCTCATGTGCCGTAAGGGAACTTGACATAAAGCTCTGGTGTTCCACTTTCCCACGATGCACCAGGGAAAGAGGAGATGATCGTGGTGAGAGAACGGAGGAAAATTTCTGCATGTGTGTAAACCTTCAACAGGCTGCAGCTGTAGCCGTCTTAATAGAGAATTCCTCTTTCCCCTTAATGCGTCTCAGCGAGCTACCGGCTGCTCTTAACCACTCACATCCTCCACTACTCACACTGCCATTACTCACGTAGTGCAGCGTGTGCAGCTGCCGCTTTTCCAGTCCCCACACACACACACACACACACACACACACACACACACACACACACACACGGAATGACTTTCAGTCTTCCTCATTACAGTGTGTTTATTTACTTTTGTTGGATTTAATTAAATCTGCTGGAAATTGATTCATGTATGCCTTAATGCTCAGCTCAAACAAATAAGGCAAACAGAAACAAACTGACGTTTGTGCTCAAGTTTATCAGCTTAGCTAACTGCTGAGACAAACGTGTACTTATTCTTTCCTTCTTTCTTCTCCATATCGCTTTCATTTCCTTTTTGCTCACGTTAACACTGTTTTTCTCTTAACCTTTCTTTTTCTCTCTCTCTCTCTCGCCTGCTCTCCATTTCAGTAAGTTGTGTTGTGTCTGAAATGATGAGCAGTCCTCTTGAAATGGATTCTCCTCTTAATAAATTATTAACTGTCTCTTACAAATGAAGACATACGAGCATCAAGTATTCATGCACAAAACTTACTGCATTAGGTGTAGCCTCTAGGTTGGCTCTTCATCTTTTTCTTTTCTTTTTTTTAAACTTTCTTTTCTTTCAGTTTGTATTTTTCTTTCTTTCTGTTTTTTTTTCTGTTTAGATTTTTCTTCCTTCCTTTCTTTCTTTCTGTTCATTTTCTTGTATTTTGTTTGTTTTACATATTTTACAGTTTGTACTCTATAGTTTCTTATCTATATTTTTCTCCCTTTTGTTCTTTCTGTTTATATTTTCTTGTATTTTGTTTTACATATTTTACAGTTTGTACTCTGTTTTCTTGTCTGTATCTTTCTTGCTTTCCTTTTTGCTTGCTTTCTTGCTTTCTTTCTTTCTGTTTATATTCTATATTTTTTCGATATTTTCTTCTGTCTATATTTTTCTTTCTTTCTGCCTGTATTTTTGTATCTTTCTTTCTGCTTATATAATATATTCTTTCACTATATATATTTTATTTCTTAAGCTATATCTTGAGATTCTAAGCTAATAATGACCTTTAACTCCATGATTAATAATAATCCTTTGTAATAAGTGATAGATTTTATTTGTCTTATTTGTTTGCTTTAGTTGTGGAACACTTCAGAAAGGACGAATGCTCGTAAAAACACACACCGGTTTTCGAAATGTGTTTTCACTTCCTTGTAAAGTGGCTTGGATTGTCCTAGGCACTCGTGATGGGTTTTGCAAGACTTTTTTTTTTTCTTTTTTCCCATTCATTAACACCCAAGTATAAAACTGACATGCTGAGTTTGAGAAGAATTCATCTGGCTTGGATTAACTGATTAAAATGATCAGTTCAGGTAAGAGTACTCGTGAAAGAAGAAGAGTGACTCCTTCATTTATCAGATCTATGTTTCATTTATTTATCTCTGTCATTGATCAGATCCAGATAAAGCAGACTGAGTGAAGTGACCTAATTCAGAAGATGCTTTTGGCCATGTTACAGTCAGGGGTTAATTTAGGATTTAGTAGGTGATTCTCTTAACAAAGGGGTTTTTATTTGCAAGCCCATTGAGCAAGTAAAACCTCCAACCTGCTGCTCATTCCTGTGTTCTGCCCTGAAACCTAAATGACTAGGCTAAAAAGTGATAGCAAACATAATGTAATAATGTAGAGTGAGCTAGTTAGCTTGTTAAGTGCATTAACACAGACTAATGCAAAAAAATAAAAATAAAAACGAGTTCATAATCATTATACTCTTCAACAATGGTTTTTAATGTAGGGCATTGTTTGTGCTCTTGAAAAAAGTCAGCAAGTGGTTGTCCAACGTTTGGGCTATGAGATATTATTACAGTCTGTCTAACATCTTTGTTTGTTTCTTTCTTTCTTTCAAGGTGACTATGTTGTGCCAGCAGGAGAGTTGCATGACAACTTTGTGCTGCACTTTATTTTGCTCAGGTTATTCAGATTTTCCTCATAGCTGTGTGTTTCCGATTCTGAAAAGAAAGCCTGTCATCCTTGTGCCTAGTAAAAACTGTTCTACCGTCAGCCAGATCGCGCCTCGGTCAGTGTGGGGCAGTGTAGGGGAAGTGGAAGCTCAGCGGTTAAGGTGTTGGACTACTGATTAGAAGGTTGTGAGTTCAAATCTCAGCACTGCTGCTGCTGGGCCCTTGAGCAAGGCCCTTAACCCTCAACTGCTCAGTCGTATAAATGAGATAAAATGTACGTTGCTCTGGATAAGGGCGTCTGCCAAATGCCGTAAATGTAAATGTAAGTGTGTGTGGTGTAGCAGGTGAGAACGAGTAAGCTCACACTATAGCTACAGCATTGAGATACGTCGCACAACTGTGAAGTGTGTTAAGTTCATACATGTAAACATATATACATGCATAAGGACACGAGATCTCCCTGCGTGCCCAGGCTACTGATTCGTCCAGCTGATTCTGATTCTGAACAGTTTCTCCCATTTTGTCTTGTTTACGTAAACAGTCCGAGCTGGGAAAGTGATCTCGCTCACGATAAACAATGCCATAACCACAGTGCTGACTCAGTCAGTCGTGGCCAAGCCCGCAGGAAGAGCGGCCATGGTGGTGCTGCTGGTTTTTTTTGGAGGCGTCATGTAAATACCTTAGCCTCCGTGGGAAGCAGTGTGTGTGCTCTGGAAGTCTTGCTGAGCTTTCTGAGAGATTGGCGTTAGATTGGCGTTGGTTAGGCGTTTACTTCTGCGGTTGATTTGGTTTTATTGGTTCTGTGGGCTGTGTGTTTGGATTGCATTTGTGAGGGAACAGGCCTCAGAGGCCATAACTCACTCAAACACACTGCTCTCTAGAGGGCCTCCAAATGCAACGTCTGTTCTCTTCCTGTCTCACTCTCTCACACACACTTGCGCACACACACATGAGTTACTGGTCTGCCCTCCATATTTGTTTGCTATAAAGTTTCAGAGTAGTTGCTTATTATTTACTCAGGCTCTGACAGTTAAAGCTTTGAAGCTTCAAGTTCTAAACCTGCCTGCCTTTTTTAAATATTCATGAAATAAATAACAGTGATAGACTCTGACAGACAGTTAGTAAAAATCTTGGATGTGTTTTGGTTATAGTTTTATTTGTAATAGTTATGACTTCCTAGTTTTTATTTCAGGTCTGCTCTGTCATGAGTCTACTGTGTCATGTCTAGTGTTCCTCAAACTAAAGAATGGCTCAACAGCATGCCCAATTAGAACTGTACAGCACATCACTGTCTGAACTTTAGGGATGTGCAATTCTAACTAAGCATGCATTATTTCTTTTATTTCAGCCCGAGTGCACCTTTTTGTTACACACTGACGTTCTATGAGAAACGTACTTAGTATTATGCAGTCGAACGTCATGGAACGTTTTATTTATCTCTGGAGATCGTTGTTGAGTCCTGCTAACAATGATCTCCTTGTGCTGACTTTTCTGTTGAAGGTATTTAAAATATCTTTAATAGAGAGTAGAAGGATGGCTGACCTGAGCGTGCAGAGCAATAGCAGTCCATTAAAATTGAGTGCAAGGTGCCGTTAATTCACCTTGACTCATGAGGAAAGAAAGGACTGGAAGCACTCAGTGCTCAGTGCTCGCTGAACTGAAGTGCTCTCACGTGCGCGCACTAGGCTTGAGATGATTGACGATAGTATCTGGAGCTGTCGATAGATTACGTAGAAGTATCACAATGGTTATCAGATCGGGCGATTTAAGCGACTATTGGAAAACATGGTGTCTGCAGGTGTAACATCGACAAAAAATAAATTGTAATGTATCTCATAATGTGTTTCCTTTCCTTTACAAACCTTAATAGCCTGCTGCCTGCTGTCTGTCTGAGCAGAACAGCAAAACTTCTTCCTCTGATGCATCCTAGCTTCCCTTGTCTGTGCTGTCCAACAGATAAAGCCATGAATGTCTTCGCTTTCTGAAATCGAGAAAATGAAACAGCGTGTTGTTTATCAGCACTACTTCACTATACAAGAATTTAATTATCTCCGCTGCTGTTAAACAAAGAGCACATGCATGTGTACTTTATATAATTTTACTTAAATTTAATAATGAACTTAGTTACAGCTAATAGGTCATTACGTTTATTTACAGTCCTGACTTCAGTCTTCTTGACCTCCAGCATTCCTGAACTTGTTCACAAGTAATTATGCCAAAAAACTGACTAAATGCTAATGCTAGCGATAGCAGCTACAGCCGACTCGTAACAAGCTTTCGATATTTTTTCCATTATAATGATGTAACATATACATGACACGATTTATATAAATATGGCCATGCCCCTTTCTTTTTCCCTCAAAGCCACAGGAGATGCTATTATCAATCTGCGATAGTTAAGGGGCATGATAGGAGGATAGCTTTTTACACACGATCTCACAAGCTTAGTACACACTCCCTTCACTACTCAGATTGCACTCATTTGAAATGATCATGTTGTCCACGTGCAGGCAGGACACGCTCACGCTCTCTATAAAAGATACTTGTATCATAGGAGGATGCTGTAGTTCCTCCTTGTGATTTTTTCCACAGAGCAGTTTGCAGTCTGCTTTGCTTTGATTATTAATCCCGAAACACGTCCAGATCTGTCATTTTGTGTAATCTGTTCATTAACGTGGAGTCACACAGTAGGCTGATGTCACATAGTATCACATGGTATTGGAGCATTTGTTAATATACGAGTAAAAGCGCGACATCAGACCGATACCCAATAGCAACATCGGTATCAGTGCGCCCCTCCTCTCTTTTTCCCTCCACTTTCTGAAATCAGACTCTGAACTGAGTTTTTCACCTGCAGCATATCGCTTTGGAAAGCACATCCAGGGAATCTTACAGAAAAAGTCAGTTCCTGTTTGAGTACACAGTGCCTGTTTGCACATTGTCATCTGGTTAAAAGGTGTACCTGCTGCAGTTTGTAAACAGATGTGCTCTTTTATGTGCTGGGATATTTGCTCAGCCATGCTCATTCCCAAACCGTGATAAGATTCGGTCAAAAAGAGAACTGTGGACCTGGACAGAAGGGGGTCTTGCTTCTTTTTTTTTTTTTTTTTTTTCTGTGTTAGACATACGACTAATTTTCCATAGAGAGTTTTTTTTTTTTATATTATCCTTGTTTCGAGTAGATCACACTGTAGATTACAGTAGATTACACTGACATTATTGCTGATGTCTGATGTTGCTTAATCTTTTTAACTGTTCTCCAGTATTTTTTTTCCTGGAAATTGCCTTATATACGGTTAGTAATAATAGCCTGTTAGAAAAATCTGTCTCAGTGTCGCGCCTCAACAGTAATTACTGTCTGTCACACTTAGCGTCTTTTTTTCTGAAGAAATTCTTGTTGTGCAGTGTAGTCAAACTTTGAGTTCTACTTTTAGATCATAATCTAGTAAGGACGCACACTTCCTATTCAACGCATTAGCAATTTAAAGCTTAATTCAGTTTTCTAAATCTCCACCTTGCAGTCCCACTTGTACTTTTCCACAGCATTTCCCAGCATGCTGGAGCGGGCAGGAATGTGAACCTACCAGGGTGCTTTCTCTCTCTCTCTCTCTCTCTCTCTCTCTCTTTCACCTCACGTTCTCGTTCTATCTCAGCCCTTTTGTTTCTCTCGTATGGCCGTGCAGCAGAAAGCCGATGCTCTCTGGTGTCCGAGAGCGGCATGGAGATCATTTCCTCTGCTTTTACTGATGGCTACCAGATGGCTACAGAGCACACACACTCTCTCCATGCTTCACTTGCTTCCTCTGTTTTGTTTGGAACGAGGGCCCGTTCGGGCGCAGGGCATGCGTATACCTTAGCATTGCCTCACGCTGTGAAAATATGAGCCAGATGTGCATTAAAGCAGGTCTAGGGTCAGATTTCCATCGCTCAAACTTATAGGCCAGTCCCAGACAGGCACTCAGACTGCAGATCTCATGCCATGATGGTGCTTTGTCGTGTTGCACTGATGCATCATGACTGACACACTATCTCCTGAAATGATGTGTATTGATGGACAGAATAGATTTGAAAAAAATGTAGAGAAAGCAGTTATACTTTGATGGATAAAGGACATTGGCAAGGAATTAATAAGATGCAAGGAGGATTGTATTTAACTGCATATTTCTTCTATGTCTGTTTCTACACGTTATTTGCTTAAGAAAGTATGCGTATGTGGATTTATGGGACTGTAATACTGACGTGACTGTCTGCAGTATTTTGACTAGAAGCAGAGGGTAAAATAGAGTAGTTAAGATTTTACATAACTCTGCTGTATGTTATGTTTTTTTTGTAATATGCATAATTAATAATTATATTTAAAGAACATGGCTTAATGCTCCTTCAGGATCAGAAGAATGAAGATTCTTTCACTCATTTTGAGAATATTGTAACATTCATCAATAACGATAATGTAATAACGCGTCACATCCACCAATAGCAGTGTCCAGACACTTGCATGTTACCGGATGACGACTGCATGGCGACCAGAGACAAATCTGTACGTTCAGCCAGCGTGATTGAACACCGCAACACTAGAAAGTCGTAGGACCACAAACAAACAGCAAACTTGTGGGATGATTTGGAACAGCAGGTGAAACACTGGTGTAAAGTCTCACACAGGTCTGAGTCAGTGTGTGCACTGCACTAGTCAGGGTAAGACTCGGCTCATGGACCTCAGTTTGTGTTCAGCCACTGAGATTCGGTTTTCTGTGCACTGTGAACTCTCTCACAGGATTTATAATGCACATCCATTCTCAGTCTGCAGGCACCCATCCAGCTTATTTACATTCCGTATGTGCAGTATTGGATTCTCAACCAACACACTCCCGATCATTCTCTCCTAAAACTCAGACAACACGTTAAATGCAGGTTAAGTTTGTAAAATAACACATTCTTATACAGAGTGTTCAACACCATTCTGAGACCAGGAAAACATTTTTATCCACATCTATCCAATTTCCCATTGTGATAATTAAGTCTGTACATTTGAAATGACCAGTTAGTCTCTGGCAACAAGAAGTTTCTCTCTGTAAGATGGTAATTGTCATATGCGTCCTCTTTTCAGCTCCTTATTGGAGAGTAAGGAAAAAAACATTGGTCAAACCTTTTTTAAATATTAATTGTATGTGTCTTTTGTAAAGCACATAAACTGTTTAGCCTAGGTTTTTTTTT